TGGCGGCAGATAAGAGCCAACGGAAGTCGAGGTGGGCTGGACTTAGCTCTCTTGTGGGCACGAAGGGACTCATGGCTGATGGCCCGCTTGGCCTCTCCCCCCCCTCGGACCCAGCCTGGTCATCCCCTACAAGAGGACTTCAATGCCTAGAATTCCCCAACCACAAGATGGCTGGGCTTCAACTCCCAGAATTCCCCCGCCAGCATGCTTTCAGATGTATAGCCTTCAGCACCATGCTGACTGGGGAATTCTGGGAATTGAAGTCCACCCACCTTCACGCGGCCACGTTTGAAAAACAGTGGTGTCAACCCATTGGGCCCAGCAGGAAAGGAGATCAAAAGTGAGGCTTAACCCAGGAATATGCCGGGAAGGGCCACAGCAGCCCCTTGGGGTAAGAGATGAGGCCATTTTGTGCAGGCACCCCAGAGAAGCCTTCACTATGAGCTGCATTGGATGCTGTCTCTGCTGCACGCTGCTTCCTCATCGGAGAAGCTCGGCAACAGGGCGCTCTGAAGGACAGAGTCCCAATTAAAAGACTCTCTGGAAGGCTGTGCATTTTGTGTGTGCTTTGTCCCCCCCCTGGCCATTCCTCTGCCCCCCACGAGCCCCGTCCTCTTCCACAGCCCCCTCCTGGCAGCCCCGACCATCGCAAAGGGCCAAAGGCGGCAACGCTTTTGATTCTCGGCCATGGCAACAGCTGTGCCCTTGTTTCTGGCGGATGGGGATGGTTGTTCTGGGAGGGGGGGCGGAGGGGGGCCCAGGGGGACATGCCTGGACACGCTTTAATGAAAGGGAGGGAGCCGGCCTTCCTCCTGGCTGCTCCTGAGCTGAACGCACACGAGTCGGACGGGGGGGGGCACCAGGCGGCTGGGGGAGTTATGTACTGGGCCTCCTCTGTTTATGACCACAACGGAGTCCAAAATGTCTGTTACAAAGTGAGACAATTGTTAAGTGGGTTTCATCCCATTTTGCAATCTTTCTTGCCCCAGCTGTTAAGTGAAGCCCTGCCATTGTTAAATCAGAAACCCGGTTGTTAAGTGAACCCGGGTTCCCCGTTGGCTTCGCTTGTCAGAAGGTCCCCAAAAGGGAATCACTTGACCCCGGGACATGGCAACCCTCACAAGTACACGCCAGTTGCCAAGCCTCTGAATTTGGATCACATGAGCAGGGGGATGCTGCAACGGTCAATAAGAGGGAAAAACGGTCCTAAGTCACTTTTTTCAATGGCGCAAGTCTGAATGATCACCAGACAAGCTGTTGTAAGCCGAGGACTGCCTGCATTCCTCTCCCCGCGGGTTTGTGGATTTCAAGGCCCTTTGCAATGGGGCGAAAGCAATTCCTGTAAAAATGTACCGGAAAGTGCAATGACCAGAATACAGAACAGCAGAATTGGAAGGGACCTTGAAGATCTTCTAGTCCAACCCCCTGTCTGGGCACCAACTGTATAATACAATTAGACAGCCCGACCCGGCTGCTAATATTTTCATTTATTCAGTATTTTAGAAAGAAGAACTAGGTTCTGGCTGATAGTGATTTTTTAAAAATATATATATATATATATATTTATTAAAGAAGGGTTTTCTTTTCCCCAAAGTAAAAGTCATACACATCTAAAGAAAAACAGAGGAAGAAGGAAGTGATAAATAAATACAAAAGAAGTGAAGGAAGAAAGAAAAACATATAAAGGAGGCCTTCTAGATTTTATCCGGGCTCTCAACGGTTAAATCCTGGGAGACTGTCTTAAGAGAATCATGCCTGGGTACTTCAGAGGCTTTGCGGGAGAATAAGTTATTTATAGAAATAATAAAGGTGGGATAATAATAAAGAAGCAAACAAATAATAAAAATGAAAAAACAGAAAGAAAGATGAAAACTCCAAGAAATGTAACCAGGTTGCCTGAAAAATCTTCCTTTTCGCTTTACTATAAAAACAGAACAAGACTCAACTGTTGATCGTAGCAGGCAAATTCTGTGTCCTTCTAAGCTGTTGCGCCAAAGCACAGAGCGCCAGTCCATGCGCAAAGCGTCCCCAGCTCTCTGCATGTTGCTGGATCCCCTTTTATGCCAGGTGCTGCTAAATCCCTGGGCATCTTCCAGAGGCCAGCAGGACAGGCAGCTCACGTGCATTCATCAAGTTGTGTGAATGAGACAGTGAGGTCTCACACTGCCCTGGTGAACGGCGGTGGCAAATGTGGAAATATTTTAACCGCAAGATGGAGATGATGAATTTGCCTCTTTGCAGGGTCCGTGAAAATGTGGGAAGCAATGGTGCGTGGAGCATTTTAAGCACTCTCAAGTGCAATAGACAAATTACCAGCGGAAACAGAAATAGAAAACTATAAATATAAATATTTTTAAAAGTTGAGCATTATTTGTTAGTCAGCAAGAAGGAAAGGATTCTACTGAAATTTTCTGTTGCACAGAGTTCAAAAGAGGTGAAGAAACCTCACAAAGTAAAGTCTTTTCCTTCCATTTTTGCCAATAACTCTCTCACTTAAATTGCCATTATTATTATTATGGTTTATCGCACTGTCAGCCAGATGTTTAGACTGTGTTTGGCACTTTTGTTCACTTTTCGAGTCCTTCCAAGGATCTGGAATAGACAGATGTTGTTGTTCAGTGGTGATAAAGGCACCATCACAGGATGTAAGATTATCATCATCATTTTCTGCCAATCAGCCAGATGTTCAGACTGGATTTGGTGTTTTTGTCCACCCACCGAGTCCTTTCCAAGGAGCTGGGATAGGCAAATGGGGATCTTTGATGGTGTTAAAGTTATTGTTGCAGGATGGAAGCTGTTCCAAATAAAGCTGCCTTTTGCAATTGACCAAGAGCGATTTTGTCAATATTGATGGTGTTCAAGTGGTGCTCCAGATGCGCTGGGATCGCACCCAGTGCGCCTCTTATTGCTGGTGCTACCTTTGCTTTCATTTGCCACAGTCGTTCTATTTCTGCTTGGAGGGCTTTGTATTTATTATTCATATGCTAGGATAATGTGACACTTTGCAGAAAACCGGTCCGGTTTACCAATTGGGCGGCTGTGTCAATGGACCGAGTAACCAAAAGACACAAACTGGCTGTTCTCCAGATCGGCGGGATTTAAAAAGCTTGAAAGTCGGGATCGTTCTACCCCTAATTCATCCAATGCCCAGCGGGTTGACATCAGTGGGGTGGTTGGAATTTCAGATTTTTTACCAGGGACAATGTGGTGAAGCTGGGCTGCCCAATCGATCCAGCTGGCTGCTCCTGAGACTCTGCCATCGCTTTGCTGGACAAAAGAGGTTTTCCGGGAAGAGGGGGGACCTGCTAGTCTGTATCTGCACCCGTAAAAACACCCCGCCCTTTCCTAGAAAGCCCCCCCCCCCAAAAAATCCTGCTGCTGCTGGAAAATCCAGGACCACTTTGTGGCTCTCCATTTGGACAATCTCCCGGGGATGCAGCGGATCGATCCCCATTCATCCTCCACGCCTGTGGAAAGGGCTCCCGGGACCCGCCAGAAGGCCAGTTCAAGGCCGCTTTGGCAGCCTCCCCTTCTGCTGCTCGGTGTCCCTCACTGTCTCCCCCCCTTCCCGAGGGGGGGGCTCAGGCCGTCTGTGTTTGCAAGGAGGGAGCAGACGGATTAATCAGGGGGAAGAAGTGTGAACATGCTGTCGCTTTCCCCAGTCCGTCTGCGGCGCCCATTGTGGTGGGGCTGTCCATCGTCCCACAACATATGGAGGGCATTGTGATCGTGCCCGGTGGCAGCCCACTTCCTGGGAGGCGACAGCTTGGGCGCCTCCCTCTCATCCAGCCTGGCTCCTTTGTGCTTAAGTGGCCTTCCCAGACGGACAGAGCAAGCTGCTCTGCGCAAGAGACGGCCCCAGGATCTCTGTTGCGACAGTTTGCGTTAACTTTGCGCTCCTCTAAGAGGGCAGCTGCTTCACCTGGCTGTGACAGGGCAGCGAGAGGTTGGTGGGGTCGAACGTCAGGGAAACATGGCGGATTTCAAGGTTTCTGGGGTCAGAATAAGTCAAGCTCATCAATTGTACTGCCCGCAGGCATTGTCTACCTGTTGCATGACCCTTACTGAAAGCACTAGTGCAGTGTTTCTCAACCTTGACCATTTTAAGGCATGTGGACTTCAACTCCCAGAATTCCACAGCCAGCATTGCTGGCTGTGGAATTCTGGGAGTTGAAGTCCACATGCCTTAAAATGGTCAAGGTTGAGAAACACTGCACTAGAGAAAGGGCTGTGGGGAACAAAGTGATTCTCTACTTCAGTGGTTCTCCACCTGTGGGTCGGGACCCCATTTGGGGTCGAACGACCATTTCACGGGGGTCGCCAAACAACGCAGTCCGCCATTTTTTCCCCCTTTTCCTTAGCTGTGCTACTCCCTTTTATTCTATTGGCTTTTGAAAGCCAATAGAATAGACTCTCTTGAATAGAGTCTAATTCTATTGGCTTTCCAAAGCCAATAGGAATTGTCCAGGCTGTCTCTGCCCTGCTGAGCCCGCCAAAAGTCCCAGTCTGCAAACGGTGCTGCACCCGTTGAGTAGTCCTCGACTTACGACCGGTTGAGTAGTCCTCGACTTATGACCGGTTGGGGGTCGCGGCATTAAAAAGGTTGAGAACCACTGCTCTACTTCCTCCATCTTGAGGATGGCAGACAAGCAAATCCCTCCAAGTTTGGGGGGCAGCCCCCCGTTTGCTAGGAAGCCACGACACCCTGGGTCTCCAAGACTGACTCCGACCCCGGACAGTTTGCTACTTAAGTCTGTGTTTTTCAAACTGGACAAATTTCAAGTGGGTGGACTTCAACTCCCAGAAATCCCCAGCCACCGTGGAAACTGGCTGGGGAATCCTGGGAGTTGAAGTCTACCTGCCTTAAACGTTGTGGTGGTTGGAAAAACCCAGCTCCACAAGACAGGGCCAAAGAGAACGGTGTTTCTAGCCATCGTCTTTACTAGTGAAAGAGATTCAAGAAAAGAAAGACGCCTTTTCTGTCTTCTGGTTCAAGCCTCTGATTCTTCTCAAGGGGGGGTGGGGGTGGGTGGGGGTGCTGCTGCTGCTCAGCGTTTCCTTTCTTTGCTGGTCGGGGGCTTCCGGCTGCTGTGGGAACTCTTGGACACTTTCTGGTTGCTCCCAGACAAGGAGCCCATTAAGGAGGAGAGTTTCCTGGACGCCTGGCTCACAACTGGAAAGAGAGGGAAGATGACACAAGAGGAGGTTTGTAGCTCAGGGCTGAACGGTGGGGCGGAGGGAGAGGGTGGGAGGAGGACTGTGGGGTCCTGGGTGCTCCTCCCTGAGCAGGGCAGTTTTCCTGCAGACCTTTCATGACCCAACTAGGTAACATCATCAGTGTAGAAGGGAGTGGAGCTTGTGAGGAGGAGGAGGATTGTGGGGTTCTTTGTGTTCCCTGAGCTTGGTTGTTTTCTTGCAGACAATTCATTACCTGACAACATCTTCAGTGCTAGAAATGAGTGTGGGATGTATAAAGAGGTGTTTTTCTTGCAGACCTTTCATGACCGAACTAGGTAACATCATCAGTGCTAGAAGGGGAGGGATTGCGGGGAGGAGGAGGGGGGGAATGACTGTGCTAGAAGGGAGTGGGGATGGTAGAAAGAACAAAGAGAAGGAGGAGGGGGAGTGGGGAGGACAACAACTCTGGGGGCCTGGGTGCTCTCTGAGCTGGGTGTATTTCTTGCAGACGTTTCATGACCCAACTAGGTAATATCATCAGTGCTAGAAGGGGGGATTGCAGAGAGGAGGAGGTCTGTGGGATCCTTGGCATTCTCTGAGCTTGTTTCCTTGCAGATGGTTTATGACCCAACTAGCAAGCAACGTCAGTGCTAGAAGGGAGAGGCGTTTGTTCTCTTTTGTGTACAGTGGCTTTCCTGCACCCCGTTGCTTCTTCTTGGTGGTTCCTTGATTGGTGTAGTAGGGTCTCCTCTTTGAGCAGAGGGCTGGACTAGAAGACCTCCAAGGCCCCTTCCAACTCTGCTATTTTATCATGAAGGGCGATTCTGAGTCCAGCGGCCTTGCTTACCTCTCTTGGACGAACGGCTTCGGCGAGATTGGCTCGACTTGCTTCTTGTTTTGCTCTTTCTGCAAGAGGAAGAGTTTCAATCAGAACTCCGGCCCTTTTCGAGTGACTGTTCCTGTGCTGGCCCACGCCACCCGTTGGCCCTTTGCTGCCGCCGGACATCCAGCGAGGCTGCACCCTGAAGCCTTTTGCCCTTCATCGTGTCATTGACAAACACACGGATGCAAAAAAAAAGGTGGCTGTTCATTTGTGGAGCTAGAAAAAACTCAGGATAATAGCAATAGCCCTTAGACTTATATACCGCTTCACAGTGGACGGAAGGCGGAGTCAGCCTTGAGCTGGTCAGGATCGAACTGCCAAACTGCTGGCAGCCGGCAGCCAGCAGAAGTAGCCTGCAGTGCTGCATTCCGACCCCTGCGCCACCATAATGGATGGTGGAACGCTTGGGCAAAATAGGGACGGTTGAGGGTTTGAATTCTGAGTTGAAAGCTGATTCCCAGAGGGGGGAAGAGCAGGATGCAAGGGAAAGAAAGCATGCACGAGAATAAACAGAATGCAAAGCAAATGGTTCGATTTTGATCAGGAAGTTTAGACCCCCTGCGCCATGTCGGCCCTGACGGTTCAGTGCCGGGATGAATAAACACACAGCGTAAGGCAGTCTCGCTCAACTTCAGCAACAAGGCAGGTGGACATCAAGGCCCAGAATTCTCCAGCTAAGTAACATCATCAGTGCTGGAAGCGAGTGGGGTATCCAGAGCGAAGGAAGAGGAGAAGGGAAGGAAGACTGTGGGGTCCTTGGTGCTCTCTGGTTGTTTCCTTGCAGACGTTTCATTACCCAACTAGGTAACATCATCAGTGCTATTGAGTGTGGGATTTGCTGCCTGTTTATGCACAGTAGCTTGCCCTGCCAGTGTTGGGTGTGTGTGTTTTTTCCTTGATTGGCGTATTGTTTTCTGTCTGGTGTTAATCCCTGCTTGCCCACTGAAGGTGATGTTTTTTGGTCTGATGTTGTTACCTAGCTGGGTTACAAAATGTCCGCAGGAGAACAGCCAAGCTCAGAGTGCCCCAAGGACCCCCCCCACTTGCCCCTCCTCTGGCAGTTTCCATGGTGTACCTTTGACCTCCTGCCCCATGGGCCCCCTCCTGGATCTCCTTCTGAGCAACTCGGGTCTCGTATCTGCCGGTGGGCGACGGCTCCATCGGGCTCTCCTTCGTCCTCTCCTGGGAGACCCTCCAGGGCTCCTCCATGGAACTCTGGGGCTCCAGCAGGAATGGGCCCTCCAGCCTCTCTTGGATGGCCACCAAGGTTGGGCTGGGGCTTGTGGAGACGCTGGGAGTGTCCAGGAAGTCCATGGTGTTCCTGGGGCTGTCCGGGATCTCCTCCTGCAGGGTGCTCAGCACTTCTGCGATGGAGATCTCTCTCTCCTCCGAGGCCTGGGTGGCAGAGCTCTGCGGGGGCAGAAGAGAAGTGATGCAGGGGAGGGGGCCAGGGCAGCCCTCTCCCCAAGAACTGCCTTCTCCAAGCAGGCACTCTCTAGATCTCCCCAACCCCCCCCCCAACCAGCTTGCCAACTCACAACCGTTGCTTGGGGAGCCAAATCCCCAGACTTCCATGGGTCTTGGCGCCACTTATCCTGGTGAATGTCCGAGGGGGGGCGAAGAAGATGGACCACTTTGACCCACAAGTCAAAGTTGTCCTTCTGGTTGTCGGCTGGGGGACAGAGCTGGAGGTAGAAGGTGCGGCCGGTCACCAACTTGAATCGCAGCTGCTTCTTCTCCTGGTCATGGATGGTGATCTTGACGAAGCACAACGGAAGGAGCCTAAGGGGGGGGGGAGGAAGACAGTGGGGAGGGTCGTGCAGCTGGCTCATGCAACTGGAGGGGAGGGACTGTTGCCCTGGGCCACCTCCCTCCATCCTGTCTGTCTCGTTGATTTATCTGCTGGGGTTTGTATGCTGCTGTACAGGTGATCCTCTTAGAAGAGAATCTTCGTAGTTCAGGTTTGGACTCTGGGGTCCTGGGTGCTCTCTGAGCCTGCTGGTTTTCTTGCAGACGTTTCATGACCCAACTAGGGAACATCATCAGTGCTAGAAGGGAGGGGGGTTGTGGAGAGGAAGAGGAGGATTGTGGGCTTCTTGATGTTCCCTGAACTGGGTGGTTTTCTTGCAGACATTTCATTATCCAACTAGGGAACATCATCAGTATTAGAAGGGAGGGGGCTTTGTGGAAACAGGAGGAGGGAGGGAGGGAGGGAGGGAGGAGGAGGAGGAGGAGGCAACTGTGGGGTCCTGGGTGCTCTCTGAGCCTGCTGGTTTTCTTGCAGACGTTTCATGGCCCAACTAGGGAACATCATCAGTGCTGGAAGGGAGGGGTGTTTACTCTTTTTTTTTACCCCAAGCAAGGAACTACCAACTCAGATGGAGGAACCACTGAGAAGAAGCAACTGGGTGCCCCGCCAACACTGTATATAAACAGAGAACAAACCCCTCTCCCTTCTAGCACTGATGATGTTCGCTAGTTGGGTCATAAAATGCCTGCAAGGAAACAGCCAAGCTCAGAGACCCCAGAGTCCTCCTCCTCCCCCCCAAGCTCCCTTCTCTTCTTGCACTGATGAAGTCACCTACTTTGGTAATGAAATGTCTGCAAGAAAGCCACCAACCGCAGAGGACCCCACAGCTAGTCCTCAGCTGAGAAAACGTTTGGTCAGTGATCGTTCTGAAGGGGCAACCGCTCTCTGCTCTCCTGCAGCGCCTACAGGGAGCGAGTCCGCCAGCATTCGAACCGCTCTTAACAACGTCCAGGAGATCCGCCTTTCACAAAGCTGCTTGAAGCGTTTTCTTGCAAGGTGCGCTGAGCACCTCTTCCCAAAGCCGATCCGGATTGCTTCAGAGTACAATTAAGGTGTGGCCAAGGGAGAGACCCCAAAAACGCAGCCCGGCCATGGGGGGGGGGGGCGTGGGCATGGCTGCTGAGCCTTACCTGGTGAGCTCAAACTTCCTGTTCCGAGCCCGGGGGCGATACCTGTGCTGCAGGTTTGGTTGCAGCTGTTGAGGGAGGAGGACTGGCCGGGCCAGCAGCAGCACATCGGGCACCGGAAGACCGGGGCTGGTGGCGGCAATGGCGACGCGCACCTGCTGCACCTGGTTGTGCACATCGAGGATGCCACCTTGCTTGCTGACCTGGAAGACATGGAGCAGCTGGCTAGCCTGTTAACCTGCAAACCCTGGTTCGAATCACGCCCTTGTTCTGCCTTCGTAAGCGGGAGATGGAGTCCACCCGGATCAACCTTGCCGAGGCTGAGAAACGGCACAGGCAGCCCCTCACTCAACAGCCAGCACTGAATAAAGTGACCCAGAACTGTTTTTTCAGTCATTGCCGCACCCCCCACTCCCATGGTCACGTGATCAGAATTTGGGCAGTTGGCAACTGGCGGGTGTATGGACGGTCGCAGCACCCCGGTGTTGGCCGTGCGAGGGCCATTTGTAACCTTCCCATCCGGCTTCCGACAAGCAGAGTCTATGAAGAAAGCCAGATTCACTTAAGGACTGTCGTTTTGCTAAACAACTGTGGCAAAATGGTTATAAAATGGGGCAAAACTCACTGAACCACCAGAAATTTTGTGCTCATTTGTGGCTGTAAGTTGAGGACCACCTCTCCTGTATTCCATTAAAAGGAGACAAAAGTCAAGCTGAAAAGCCATGACAGAGTTTGAAAACACCGAAAGTCTGGGGTCCCATAGCTCAGGGGTCCAGGGCAAACAAGCATCCCTCTCCCCAAAGGGAAGCAAGTAAACCTCCTTGAAAACCACCCCAGCTGATACCAGCCTCATATCCAGTGGCAATCTGTTCCACAGCCCAACTTATTCTAGCCCAGTGGTTCTCAACCTGTGGGTCGGGACCCTATTTGGGGTCAAACGACCATTTCACGGGGGTCGCCAAACAATGCAGTCCGCCATTCCCCCCCCCTTTTCCTTAGCTGTGCTACTCCCTTTTATTCTATTGGCTTTTGAAAGCCAATAGAATAGACTCTCTTGAATAGAGTCTAATTCTATTGGCTTTCAAAAGCCAATAGGAATTGTCCAGGCTGTCTCTGCCCTGCTGAGCCCGCCAAAAGTCCCATTCTGCAAACGGTGCTGCACCAGTCGAGTAGTCCTCGACTTACGACCGGTTGAGTAGTCCTCGACTTACGACCGGTTGGGGGTCACGGCATTAAAAAGGTTGAGAACCACTATTCTAGTGTAAAAAAAAAAATCCTCCTTGGATTAGTCCCAAATTGTCCTGCATTCCCTGCCAACAGGTAAACCCCAGTTGCGACCTTGGCATAGCCGGATTCAGCCGTCTCGCTGCCCACCCTTGCCAAGCAATTTGCCGACGCCTGGCATCATCAGCCTCCCTCCCACCTCTTTCCTTCGGGCATCCTTTGCTGTCGCTGTCCTCGGGAGAGCTGCTCTGCCTTGGCAATCCCTTGGGATCCCTTTCCTGCAGGTTGGGGAGCCTAACGGATCACCTGGGAGATGTCATAGAGGATCCCTGCTCTCTGAAGATATCTGGCTGTGGGGGGAGGACAGGGATGGGATCTCAGAATGGCTGATGGGCCAGGGAACTGTAGCTTGCTCTGCAAGTAGTCCTTGGCTTATAACCACAGCTGGAACCTGTCACTGAGCCGTGAATTTGTGAAGTGAGTCATCAGGTGACCACACCCAATTTTGTGACTTTTTTTTACCAAGGGAATCATGCAATTGTTTAGTGCAGGGGTAGTCAACCTTGGCTCTTTTATGACTCGTGGACTTCAACTCCCAGAATTCCTGAGCCAGCCATGCTGAGGGGAAAGGGAGAGGTTTCCAAGCTGAGCCAGGCTGGCTCAGGAATTCTGGGAGTTGAAGTCCACGAGTCATGAGGGGGCCAGAGTTCCCCCATGCTGGCTCAGGAATTCTGGGAGTTGAAGTCCACGAGTCATAAAAGAGCCAAGGTTGCCTACCCCTGGTTTAGTGAATCCACCTTCCCCACTAACTTTGCTCATTGGGAACCAGCTGGGAAGATTGCAAATGGTGATCATGTGATCCCAGGGTGCTAGGATGTCATAAATCCATGCCAGTTGCCAAGTGCCAGAATTGTGCTCATGTGAGAATTCAGAGAAGAGCAACTAAGATGATCAGGGCCTAGAGACTAAAACATACGAAGAACGGCTGCAGGACTTGGATTTGGCTAGTCTAAAGAAAAGAGGAAATAGGGGAGACATGATAGCAGTCTTCCAGTATTTGAGGAGACTGCCAAAAGGAAGAGGGGGTCAAGCACCTGATGGCAGGTCAAGAAACAATGGTTGGAAACTGACCAAAGAGAAAAGCAACCTGGAATTAAGGAGAAACTTTCTGACAGTGAGGACAATTAACCAGTCCTCCAGTTGCCTCCAGAAGTTGTGGGTGCTCCATCACTGGAGATTTTTAAGAAGGGACTAGACAGTCACTTGTCTGAAATGGTAGAGGTCCTCCTCCTTGAGCAGGGGGCTGGACTAGAAGACCTCCAAGGTCCCTTCCAGCTCCTATTCTATTCTGAGTGTGGGTACACTGCAATGAACAGAATAACAAGAGTTGGAAGGGACCCTGGCGGTCTTCTAGTCCAACCCCTTGTTCAAGCAGGAGACCCTCAACCATCCTGGACAAAGGGCTGCCCAGTGATGGAGCACCCACAACTCTGAAGGCAAGCCAATCCACTGATTAACTGAAATCTCTCCTGAGTTCCAGGTTGCTTCTCTCCCTGACTGGTTTCCATCCGTTGCTTCTTGTCCTGCCTTCTGGTGCTTTGGAGGACAGGTCAACCCCCCCCCCCTTTGTGGCAGCCCCTCAGATATTGGAAGGCTGCAACAGTTGTAAGTGGCAGAACTGGCTGACTGTCACTTTTTTCAGCACCGTCCTAACGCTCCTAAGTCAAGGACTGCGTGTATTGCTGAACACGGGTGCTTCCCGCTGTGTGTGTGTGTGAGGGACTGGAGGGGCCCCTCCCCTCCCCGGGGTGCCTCTGCCTTCTGCCCCGGCCCTCTCACCTGGACGAAATCGCTTTCAAACATGGCAGCGCACTTGAGCAGGTTGTACTCGCCCAGGCGGAGCTGGCGCTGCAGAGGTCCCATGTTGGTGTTGAAGAGGCCTCGGCTGCTGGTGGGGTTCTTGGGGGCCTTGGATGCTTCCATTGCCTTGGCTCCTTCCAGGCCTGCCTGGGAAGAGGGGGCAGCGATTGGAAGGGGGCCGGGGCCAGGCCGGGGCCCAGAACGACGTAGGACAGCCCATCCGGGGTTTGGTTCATTTGCTTGCACACAATCGACAGACTCTTGCCGGACTAAATAGCAATATCATTGTAGGCTTATATCTCGCCCCGTAGGCAGCTTACAATGTCAACACTTTATTTGCATCTTGCCTCCAACAATCTGGGTCCTCATTTCACGGACTTTGGAAGGATGGAAGGCTGAGTCAACCTTGAGCCTGGTGAGATTCGAACTCCAGACTCTGCCATGCGGGCAGAGTTTGCCTTGTGCTTTAACTGCTCTAAGATACACCCTGGGAGATTCTAGGCTGGGAGCGGCTATCCTAAGCCAGTTCCTCTTCGCCTCTGGACTGCGCTGCCTCTCGTCTTGCCCTCCTCCTTAGCACCTGCTCCCTCCCCCTTGGGAAACCGCTGCCTCGTTGTAATCCATCACAGCCCTCCACCTTCCTAGGCACCATCCTTCCCAGCAGGTGATGCTCCGGAGCTCTCCAAACGTGGCAACTTTAAGACGTGTGGACTTCAACTCCCAGAACTGGAGTGGGGAATTATATGGCCACCAACTATGCTGGCTGGGGAATTCTGGGAGCTGAACTCCACTCGTCCTACAGTTGCCACGTTTGGAGAGGCCTGCACCGGAGCAAGGCAGAGCTAGCAAGGCTGAGAAGGAGTATCTTTTGCCCAGGGAGCCCCATTCTGCTCTCTCTGCCCAACGGGCTGCTGTTTGGCAGGGAAGCATGGGAACGTGGATTCCTTATGATGCTTTCTGTGGCTCGGGTGTCCCAGATCTCCAGGGACGTGGGCACGGGTGGAGCAGGATCTTCACCAAGAGGGCATACTGAGCCCCTGGTGGCGCAGTGCTTAGAATGCAGGATCGCAGGCAGACTCTGTCCACTGCCAACAGTTCGATCCTGACCGGCTCCAGGTTGACTCAGTCTTCCACCTTTCCATGGTCAGTAAAATGAGGACCCGGATTGTTGGGGGCAAATACACTGACTCTGTAAACCACTTAGAGAGGGCCGTAAAACACTACAAAGTGGTATATAAGTCCAAGTGCTACGGCTATTGCTATCTTGCTGGAAACTCATGCAGAGAGGCGCCCTCTCCCCGTCTGTCCCCAAGGCTCTTCAGCTGCCCAAGGGAGGGAATGTGGTTGGAAATAATGGGGGACTTTCAGTTCCGAGAAACATGCACAACAGAGAAAACCTTCTCGCTCCTTTGGAGAAGTCGCAGAGTCGTCCTGCTTGCCCTTGACAATCCACATGGGGCCCCGGAGGGTCCCAGCCTCCTCTCCAGATGTCTGGGACTTTGGCCCCCCCAGTCCTGGGCTGTTAGCCTGCCTGCTACTGGGGCTGGGCAAGCTGGTGCCAACCTCCCCAAGGGGCCATGGCGCCCCCTGCCCCGTGAGGGCTGACCTGGGGTCTTCTGTGGGCCGGCCTGCTTGCTCCGGGCCATCTCTCTCCCCCTGGCCATGGCTGATGGTGCTTGTGGGGCGGGGGGGGGGGCGATGTCACGCTTTCTCCTCTGTGACCTCTGCCTTCATTGCCATGGAGACCCCTGCAGAACTCAGGCACGAAGGCTCTCCCACCTGGTCAGCAGCGCTGGGGGTCTCGGCAGAGAGCAGGCCAGGTTGGGCCATCCGATCTGCACCTCCCAAGCTTGCCTCCAGCAACCAGGAGGGTTGAGCATCTGGCTGGGGTGTTGCTGAGCTCAACTCTCCCCTGGGCTCCCCCAGACTGTTTCTTCCTTGCAGACAATGCTTCCGCTAGCCTTGGAGAGCTTGCTTGCTCAGTCTTCAGTTCTCTCTTGAACCAAGGGGGCTGCTTCCTTCTGCCCCATGGCTGACCCCTTCTGGCTATGACACCTTCTTTTCCCAAAAAAATCCTCCTCCCCCCCAGTAAGGAAATAGTTCCTGATGCCTTCCTTTAGCACAGGAGAAACTGCGGGTGGGGGGGCTGGAGACGGAGGGAGAGGGCTGGGCATAAAAGGCCCCCTTCACTGAAGACCCCCTTGATCCCAAAATGGTCAACAGCAAAGGCTTTTTCTCCCCAAAGGGAGAGAAAAATGCCTTAAGCCAGGGGTGTCAAACTATCGGCCTGCGGGCCGGATGCATCATAGCAAGACCGCGCCCACCCCATTGCCGGCAATAGCAAAAAAGTCGTGATACGTCACGGGTTTGACACCCCTGCCTTAAACCTTTTTCGTCATCACCATATGAAAAAGATGTTGAAACTCTGGAAAGAGTGCAGAAAAGACCAACCAAGATGATCAGATTAGGGGCCTGGAGGCTAAAATATGTGAAGAACTGTCCCAGGAATTGGTATGTTTACTTTGATCAAAAAAAAAAAAAAGAAGTGATATGACAGCAATCTTCCAATATTTGAGGGGCTGTCACAGAGAACAATAGGAGGTCAACTATTCTCCAAAGCACCTGGATGGAAATTAATCAAGGAGAGAACCAACCTGGAACTAAGGAGAAATTTCCTAAAGGTGAGAACAATTAATTATTGGAATGGCTTCCCCCCAGAGGTTGTGGGGGCTCCATCACTGGAAGTTTTAAAGAAGAGATTGGACAATCATTTGTCTGGAATGTTCTAGGACAGTGGTTCTCAACCTTTTTAATGCCGCGACCCCCAACCGGTCGTAAGTCGAGGACCACTCAACCGGTCGTAAGTCGAGGACTACTCAACTGGTGCAGCACCGTTTGCAGAATGGGACTTTTGGCGGGCTCAGCAGGGCAGAGACAGCTGGACAATTCCTATTGGCTTTGGAAAGCCAATAGAATTAGACTCTATTCAAGAGAGTCTATTCTATTGGCTTTCAAAAGCCAATAGAATAAAAGGGAGTAGCACAGCTAAGGAAAAGGGGGGGAAAATGGCGGACTGCGTTGTTTGGCGACCTCCATGAAATGGTCGTTCGACCCCAAATGGGGTCCCGACCCACAGGTGGAGAACCACTGTCCTAGAGGGAAGCTGTTCCACTAATTGTTCTGTCAGGAAATTCCTCCTTAGTTCTAGGCTGCTTCTCTCCTTGGTGAGTTTTCATCCATTACTCCTTTGTCCTGCTTCTAGTGCTTTGCAGGTATTTATTTAATATTTATGAATTGAAAATTAGAAACTCTCTAAAGGGGTCTTCCAACTTAGCCCTTTTATGACTTGTGGACTTCAACTCCCAGCATGCCTGGCTGAGGAATTCTGGGAGTTGAAGTCCACAAGTCATAAGAGGGCCAAGTTTGAAGACCCCTGCTCTAAAGCATGGAGGCTGGCGCCACCTAGCGGGAAAAGCAAAACCAGAGAAAGCAAATGTTCTGAGTTTTGTAGGGCAATATTTAGGGATAATTAAACCAAATAGGTTTTACTTACATAAACGCAAATGCTAAGTCTAGTCTTAACTGAGGCTACAAAAGTCAGATTTTAATATATAATATTTTGGTGCATTCACACAGCATGCTAAATCCTAAATATGGTTAACAAAATAGTGTCTGGAATTACAGCAAGAAGAGACCTCCAATTAAATCAGGGGTCTCCAAACCTGCCAACCTTAAGACTTGTGGATTTCAACTCCCAGAGTTCCCCAGCCAGCCTGGGATTCTGGGCATTGAAGTCCACATTTCTTCAAGGATCCAAGGTTAAGACACGTGGCTGTGTCTTAAGACGAAGACCTCCTCTGAGGCTTCTTAGTGAGGACGAAACTGGTCTGTACTGCCCCCTGGTGGTGAACATAACTGAAAACACCACAGTTGGTAAAATTTGGTGCATTTTCATTGCTAAACAAGGCAGTTTAAGGCAGCGGTTCTCAACCTGTGGGTCGCGACCTCATTTGGGGTCGATCGACCATTTCATGGGGGTCGCCAAACAACGCGATCCGCCATTTTTTTTGTCAGCCGGCGCAGGAGGCGCCGCCGCGCATGGACACCACGCATGGGGCCGCCACCGTGCATGTGCACCACGCATGGGGTGCCGCCGCGCATGCACGCCACGCAGGGGCAGTGCATGGGGCGCCACCACACATGCGTGCTGCGCAGGGGCCGCCGTCGTGCAAGGGGCGGTGCATGGGGGTGGCACCGTGCATGCGCGCCGCGCAGGGGGCGGTGCGTGGGGGCGCCGCCATGCATGTGTGCCGCACAGGGGGCGCCACCGCGCATGCGCGCCGCCTGCTTATGTCCAGGGTCGCCGTATAAAAAGGTTGAGAACCACTGGTTTAAGGAGATGCACCCAATTTTGTGATCTTTTTTGCCATGGCAGTTAAGCAAATCACTGTTGTTATTAAGTGAATCATGTGGCTGTTAAGTGAATTTGGCTTCCCCCGTTGACTTTGCTTTTCAGAAGCTGGTTGGGAAGGTCATAAATGGAGATGACGTGACCTGGAATGCCGCAACCTTGATAAATCTATGCTGGTTGCCAAGTTTTGATCACGTGACCATGGAGAGGCTGCTATGGCTGTAAGTACAAGGACCGATCCTAAGTCCCCCGAGTTAAGATCGGGGGGGGCTGCTGGCAAAGGCTCTCCCCCTGCCAAACGTCTAACCTGGTTTCCAACGTTTTTTGAGGAGCAGGTTGCAGGTCTCCGAGGCTCTCCTGTGGAAACAGTAGGCAAAGATCCAGCTTTTGATGGGCTCCCCCAGGAAAGGGAGGCTGGAAGGACCCACCACACCGGGACTGTTAACCCACAGGCTGCCTGCGAGTGAGCGAGCAGGGCACAGAGCAACCTTTATCCCAGGAGTTGTGAAGTTCGGGGCTTTTTCCCCCTCTGATGTGCAAAGGGGGGGGGGACAGGGAGAGCCGCAAGTACCAGGGGCAGAGGAAGGAGGAGGGGGGGGGCACGTCCTTCCGGCTGCTGGCTGGCACCGGGTTGTACACAAGCCCCCGTGAACAGCTACAAATCCCGTCCACCTTCACATGCACACACAACCTTTTTGCTTTCAAGAATATCCTGCCTTTATTATTTTTTACAAAGAACTCAAAGTGGTGAACTTTCTCTTCCCTTCTTCAGTTTTCCCCACAACAACAACCCTGTGAGGTGGGTTGGGCTGAGAGAGAGGGATTGGCCCAAAGCCACCCAGTTGGTTTTTGTGCCTAAGGCAGGACTAGAACTCACACTCTCTTCGTGATTGCCCCAACCTCACACTTTTGCACGCGTGGATTCTCTTCTAATTAGGTTGTTTCTTATGTTGTTATAAGACCAGGACACCCCCGGTCTGATGTACTGTGAACCCCACAGAGTCACTTAGAGCTGGGTGGCATCAAACTGAATTTTTTGAAAACGTCCGATCTACTCTACTCTATTTGCTAAAGCATGCTGCAAAAGTTTGGGGCGGGAGATGATTTCACGCAGAAGAATTTAACTTCACATTTGCAAGACTCATCCAACTAAGCTCTGCTAAGCACAGAGAAAGGAGGCAGCGGGCAGGGCTTCATGCCCAGACTTGCAGGCTGGGCTGGCAGGAATTTTCCTACCTGATTACTGTTTTCATGACTGTGTCAAGGGGCCCCCGCCTTTCTGCTCGAACACGGGACGTCAAGGCTGCACTCCGGGCCTGCTCAAAGGAGACGAGCTTCACAAATTCAGCCAGGGAGTAACTTCTCATCTGCCAGGAAAGGTTGGCACCTCTCCTGCAGGCAGGGAGACGCTGGCAGCAGGAGGCAACGGATGCCGCCTTTTTTTTTTTTCTCATTCCAGCCAATGGGTAGATAAGAGGATGGATGGCACGTCCCTTGCAGTGAGGGTTCTGCTGGGGCTCAGGGCTTCATGGGAGATGTAGTTTTTTTTTTACTTCTAGAGCAGTGTTTCCCAAACTTGACAATTTTAAGGCATGTGGACTTCAACTCCCAGAATTCCACAGCCAGCAACGCTGGCTGTGGAATTCTGGGAGTTGAAGTCCTCACGCCTTAAAATTGTCAAGTTTGGGAAACACTGTTCTAGAGCAGTGTTTCTCACCCATAGTAACTTGAAGAGCGGTGGACTCCAACTCCCAGAATTCTCCAGCCAGACATAAAGTCCACCAGTCTTAAATCATGCTGGCTGGGGAATTCTGGGAGCTGAAGTCCACCCATCGCCAAGATTGGAAAACTCTGTTCTAAATTTAAATTTGACAAAGGTTTCATAGAACGGTGGCAGAAGCTACAGGCCCCCAGTTGACATAAGCCAGCCCCCTCCCCGGGAAAGCACAGTTTGGGAAGGGGGGGGTCTGACTCATTTGCCTCCCCTTTTGTCAGGTTTTTCTCGGCTCTGGAGGCAGCAGCAAAGGTCAAGAAATGGTGGGATCCTCCAGACAGGGGCAGCCTCGCTGGAGTCTTCAAGGAGAGACCGGACGGCCTTTTGCCTGGGACGGAACAAGGCCTTGGGCAGGGGGTTGGACTCGGCAACCTCCAAGGCCCCTTCCAGCCCCGGGATTCCCAATCGGCCGCCGGTGCCGACCAGAAAGCCGGAGGAAGCGAGGCCGCAAAGGCCCCGTGCGGATGAAGCCGCTGGCCGGCCCGGAACACGAGGCGGGGAGCAGCCACTTCGCCCCGCGGCTGCCCCGCCGCCCGCCGGTTGAGCGCCACGCGCGGCCGCGCCGCTCCGCGAAGGCAGGAGCTCTGCGGAAGGCCCGAGGCCATCTGGACGGGCCCCCTTCGGGCGGGACGCGGCACCCGTGGACAGCCCAGCGCCCCTCTTCTCACGTGCACCGGAGCCCTGCTTCGTCGCCTTCCCGCGCCATCTGCGGCCGGCATCCAGCGGCCCCTCTGGGCTCCCGCGGGCCGGGGCTGCCCGGGGCGCCGCGTCGCCGCCGCCCTCCGAAGCGGAAAGCCGCTTGGAAAACTATGAACGGAGCCTGGGCCGCCGTGGGATTGGCCAGTTTGAGGAAGCCACGCCCCTTTCGTCTTTTATCAATGGCTCTCTCGGGCCGCGGACTGGCTGGCTGAGGGGGCGTGGCAGGCTGATCTAGCCAGGAAAGAGGTAATGAGCTCATAGAATCCTAGGGCTGGAAGGAACCTTGGAGGTCATCTAGTCCAGCTCCCTGTTCAGGGCAGGAGACGTTATTCCACCCCAGACAAAGGGCTGTCCAGTTTACTCGTGAACACCTCCAGTGATGGAGCACCCACAACCCCAGGAGTCAAGTCGTTCCGTTGATTGGCGCCCCTGAAGTCCCCTGGACCCTCCTTCCAGGCGAGGGGTGCCCGGATGGGTTTCCCACGCCTGGGGTGGCCCCCTCCCCACCAAAGAGCAGATAAAGCCATCTGCAAGCTGCAGTAACAGCGCGAAGTTTGAATCTAAAGCAGAAAACCCTGGAAGAAGAGAAAATGCAAGGGGGAGTGGGGGCTGGGTTGTTTGCAGGGCATTTTTGTGGATTGCAGCCACTTCTGGGGTTGTGAAAATGGGTAACGCAATACATCTGAGCGTTTGGAGCCCAGTTTCTCAACCCTGGCAACTTTAAGACGGGTGGAATTCAACTCCCAGAATTCTCTAGCTTGCACGTACTGTACAGGTGGTGGTCCTCAACTTATAACTATTTGTTTATTGACCGTTTGAAGTTAGGCAAGCCCTGACTGATCCTCACCCTTACTACTGTCACAGCATCCCACATATGTAATCAAAGTTTGTGCAGTTGGTAACCAGCATGCATTTACGAGAGTTGCAGTCTCCCAGGGTGATGCGATCACCATTTGTGACTTTCTTGGCCAGTTTCTGACATGCAAAGTCCACGGGGGGGGGGCTGGATTTGACCATGTGATTTACGTAACGACTGCTGTGGTTTGCTTAACCTCTGTGGCTACAAAAGTTGCAAAATTGGGCGCGATTCCCTTAACAACGACCTCGCTCAGCAACAGAAATTCTGGTCCCAATTGTGGCTGTAAGTGGAGGACTACCTATCTGCACAGCCGGTTTGTCAGTTGCAGCTTCCAAAAAATTTACCCTGAGCAAATATCCAGAGATCAGCTCTCAGGCATTTTTTACCTGGAAAAAGATTTTGCGGCCAAAAAAGATGACTCACGGGGATTGAAATGTGGGACAGATGTGCAAATGAACAGAGCAGGAAACAAACGGCTCTCTGTTCGTTGTGTAGCCTCGAATTGTGGGAAGGAGCACAAAGGACACCCAGCAGGCATTAAATGGTCAGGGGACTGAATCCCCAAACCCCTCCTCATTCACACCCAAAAAGTATTATTTCTTTTTTTGTGTGTGTAATATGTCTTTTTGTGTATGGGAGACGGTGAACGATTCACAGAGTCGTGAACTGAGACTGGCGGTTATAGAAACCGAATGAATAAATAAAGCCATACTTAAACCTGTGTCAGGAAAAAATCTATAGGAATTGAAACATTTTATTAATTTTTTATTGAAATAATATTCAGCCATTTACATAGTCCTCGACTTACAATCTTTCTTTTGAAGAATGTTTCAAGTTATGGCTTTGAAAAAAGTGACTTATGACTGGTCATAATAAGAATTTGGGTTTGACCGGTCTAGAGAAAAGAAGGGCTGGGAGGACAAGATAGCAGTATTCCAGTATCTGAGGGGCTGCCACAAAGAAGAGGAGGGGGTCACGTTATTCTCCAAGGCACCAGAGGGGAGGACAAGAAACAACAGATGGAAACTAGTCAAGGAGAGAAGCAACCTGGCATTAAGGAGAAACTTCTTAACAAAGAGGACAATTAACCAGGGGAACAGCTTGCCACCAGAAATCGTGGGCATTCCATCACTGGAGATTTTTAAAAAGAGGCTAGACGGTCACTTGTCTGAGATGGTATAGGTTCTGCTTGAGTGGGGGGCTGGTCTAGAAGACCTCCAAGGTCCCTTCCAGCTCTATTTTGACTGATTAGTCCTTACACTTATGACCATTATGACAGTCACATGATCCAAATGCAGGTGCTGGGCAACCGGCACGTGTTTACAATGGTTACAGCATCCTGGGGTCTTGTGATCACCAGGTGCGACCTTATGCTGCCCCCCCCCCTTTGACAAGTAAAGTCAATGGGGAAACTTGGGCTCACTTAACAACCACGTGATTCATTTAACAGCTGCAGAGATTTACTTAACAATTGTGACAAAAAGGTGAAATTGGGAGCAACTCACTTAATAACCGGCTTGCTTAGCAAAAGAAACTCTGTTCCCCAATTGTGGCCACAAATTGAGGACCTCCTGCTTTCCAACTCTCAACGCAGCTGGCAAAGCCAAAAATAGGGAGGGGAAAAGAAGACTAGAACTGCTGCCATTACACTCTGCATTCCAGAGCCTGGCATCTCCCTGGCAGAAGATTCACCTGTCCCATTCACCTGTCACCCTTCAGGGCATGGGCGCACCTTCGGAAGGGCTTCTCCTGAAGGCAGGTGGTGCTAGGAAGCACCAGCCATCTGAAGTGTGTCCGTTGGCCATTGGCAGCCTGGGCAAATCTTTCAGGAGAGCATCATGGGCTCCTGGCATCCGGCACCAGCTGTGTGGCAGCTGCATTTGGCATCAGGATGCAGAATAACAGAGTTGAAGGAGACCTCGGAGGTCTTCTAATCCAACCCCTGTTCAAGGAGGAGACCCTAGAGCAGTGGTTCTCAACCTTTTTAATGCCGCGAGCCCAACCGGTCGTAAGTCAAGGACTACTCAACCGGTCGTAAGTCGAGGACTACTCAACTGGTGCAGCACCGTTTGCAGAATGGGGCTTTTGGTGGGCTCAGCAGGGCAGAGACAGCCTGGACAATTCCTATTGGCTTTTGAAAGCCAACAGAATTAGACTCTATTCAAGGGAGTCTCTTCTATTGGCTTTCAAAAGCCAGTAGAATAAAAGGGAGTAGCACAGCTAAGGAAAAGGGGGAAAAAAATGGCGGACTGCGTTGTTTGGCGACCCCCGTGAAATGGTCGTTCGACCCCAAATGGGGTCCTGACCCAAAGGTGGAGAACCACTGCCCTATACCATTCCAGGCAAATGGCTATCCTGTCTCTTCTTGAAAACCTCCAGCGATGGAGCAGCCACCACCTCTGGATGGAAGCAGTTCCACTGGTTAAAATTCCTCCTCCGTTCCAGACTGGAGTCTCTCTTTAATGACCTTCCACTCGGTGGTTCTTGTCCTGCTCTCGGGCGCTTTGGAGAAGAGTTCAGCCAGCTGCTGATGTCAGCCATTCAGCTCCAATTTCTGGAGACGTTTCCAGCTGCCCTTCAAACGAGCAGGTTGTAGGAGTAATAATAATAATAATAATAAAGTTGGAAGGGATCTTGGAGGTCATCTAGTCCATCCCCCTGCTGAGGGAGGAAACCCGTTGCAAATGAGACGTGGATAGACCTGTGTTGGAATCAGCTTGGGGAGCTGCAGGCCACCAGTGACTTCCGCCGGCACCTTTGTGCAGGTGTTGAGCAGCATCAGGACCAGAAAGGCTCAGTGGGACAGTCCCTCGTTCTCTTGATTGGAAAGGCTGCCTCACCGCACAACCTAGCAGGCTCTATCCAGCGTTTTTCAAACTTGGCAACTTGAAGACGTCTGTATTTCAACTCCCAGAATTCCCCAGCCAAACACGGGGAATTTGCAGTGATTAGACAAACACTTTGGTCATTAAGTGAACAATGTGGTCGTTAAGCAAACACCATGGTCGTTAAACAAGTTCATTTTCCCCAATGGGCATTTTTTATTGGAAACCAGAAGGAATTGCTAGAATTCCGGCAAAAAATATAGAAAATCAGTCCCGTGACTGGGATGAAATGACCGTGTGTATGTGTGTGTGTGTGTGTGTGTGTGTGTGTGTGTATTTGTGTGTGTGTGTTTGTGCATGGCTGTCAAAACTTCCAAAACAGGTCAAGTAACTCTGGGGAAGTTCTGTCGTAAATTCGCA